GGCAAAACCATAGCAGGGTGGACACGTGTTGATATTACTGTGGTCTAATACTAAAGCATAATAGAGCATGATATGTGGACAAGTAAAAATGCTTTGAATTTCCCTTTCATTTCCCCCTTCTCACCTTCCTTGCTGACAACTCCAGAGACTAGTGGGTGTTAAGACAGACTGATGTGGATTCTTATGGAGCTGCCTCTCATCTATTCCATTGTTCTTTCCATTTGTCTAGACAACTGTTTCACAACCTCTGTAATGTAATCGTTTTCCTTCTTGCCTCTGGAGTCTTTGATGAGCCTGATAGGAGCTTGATTCCCCTCTGGTAATATAAGAGTTAAACAGTTCAGGATCTTCCAAAGCACTGTGCCAGTTTTTAATAACAAGAATCTGGGATGGTTGAACACAAATAGAGTTGCTCTTTGTCGTGGTTGTCATTGGGTCACATAGGAATAGAAAAAATGGGCATGGAGAGCTTTCTGTTCTGCTGAAGTCCAATAAACTTCTCTGAGATGAACTAAAGATGTAGCATTTCTCTCCTTTGGGGAGTCTCTTAACTTCATGATAGTGGGAAATAACTTGGCTTTGTGTTGGTCTTCTCTAGATGACCTCTGCACCCTCCAGAGCCCATCTGGTGTAAGGGGGAATGGTTCTGGCTTAGACCATCTGTGTTTAACAATTTAATGACAACTTTGCCAGGTTAAAGCTTTCATTGGATGGGGGGGGGGGGGGGGGGGGGGGGGGGGGGGAGTAGTGTTCCTCATTACCATTTGTGGATCCTTAAAAAATGGGTTTGAATTGCATGTTTGCACATTTCAAGATGTCAGATTTAATGAGATAAATGTGGACTATTGGAAAAGTCATGGCAGATTTTCAATCAGAGAGCCTGTGTTTTTTTTCTCATGTGGCCACTTGTAGCTTTGGGTCTTTAATGAGCCCTAAGCATCCTGTGCTTACTGTCTCATCTCTAACGTGAGGATAATGACTTGTTAGAACATGGCAGGTTCAGGTCCTCAGCTAGCATCTAGCACAGCAATGTATATGTAGTTGATGTTCAGTATGTACCTGTTAAGAACATAGGGTTGAGGAAGTAGAAACAGAAAAGGACTAGGATGTGGCAGGAGGTGGGGATTAGAGATAATTTGGGATCTTCGCTGCTGTCAGTAAAATGTGACAAAGTTTAATTGTAACTGAAGTACATTAAAAACTTTCATCTACAGACTTATGGTAAAGCTCTAATACTTGACATCTGCCGACAGCCTACGTTTTGGGAAAGCAGTAATTACACTTTAATTCATCAAATATACATATAAACAAATAAAGAGAGACTCAAACTGCTTAACATATAATTATGGATAATTGCATATTACAGTATACTTACATCATGCTGATTGTAGCACAGTTGGTATTTTCTCCATTCAAGTATGCCAAGAAACTCGAAATTTGGGTATGTTTTTCCTACTGCATTCTATCTATTTTTCTTTAAATTCTGTTATTGCTTCAGTTTTGAAATCTGAGTATATCTCAGGCTTAGTCTGAGCCTTTTCCCCACGTGGTATGTAATCGCCCTTTGAAAACCACACCAAATGGTTATTCAGTTTTTGCTGAAGTGTTCCATCTGCCTTCCTCTGAATGAAAAGCCATCCTTTTTAATAACCTCTGTGGATTTTTCTCAGTTCTCTTTTCGCATTTCCACAGAAAAGTTAAGTGTCGACATACACTAAGCAGAGGTCCTTAGTGTTATCATCTTTTCGTGTTGCATGTCCAGTGTATCTTAATCTCAGATATTCCCCTGACTTTCAAGTAATGTGTATCCTGGAGCACATTTTTGTCCAGAAGAATGGAAGAGTGAGGTTTGGTGACAAATGGGGAAGTCACACCCTGAATCACCAACAGGTCCCCTGACTTCTATTTTGATCTCTGGCAAAAGTGACCAAGAGCTTCTCAAATTTCAGGGGTTTTTTGTTTGTTTGGGCTTTTGTTTGTTTGTTTGTTTGTTTTTAGTTGCAGGAATGTAATTTCCTCTCTAGTTGGTGAATTTCTCTTTCTTCTGTGGATGAACCTGGAAACTTGGCATTATTCAAGCCACAGGACATTAGACCAAAAGAGAACTTCATAGGCAGATGAGTCAGTCTGGCCCTCAAATATTCTGCAGTGTCTCCACCCAGGTACTGTCCAGGGATGCTAAACTCACTGTTTCTTGAGGCAACTCATTCTACCCGAACGGCCCTGAATGTTACAAGAACTCATATTTGCTTTCACTGAAACATCTCTCTAAACTGTCCCCATTTATCAGGTCATCCCTGTTCATTCATCAGGTATATTGTGACTTGATTTTAAATGTAACCGCCTTTATTTCCTCTCTCCAGAAAATAACAGTACTCTGCCTCTATTAAATATGAACTTTGATAGTTAATGAGATTTTGTGTTACCTTCAGAGATTTGGTTTGCAATGGCACCTGGGATTATAGCATAAAAAAAGGTTAATTATTATTATTGCAATGGCAGAACATTAGAATTGAAGTAACTAATCAGTTATAAAGTTAAGGTCTCCTGGGAGAATCCATGTTTGTTTATTTTATTTATTTAAAGTGAAATTTACAGAGCTGCTTTAAAGTCTCAGGGAACTAAAGACTTGGAAAACTTAAAACACATTTTTTTTCTGAAATGATCATAATGTATTAAAATAAGTGTTAAGGGTGATGAACTAGGGGAATTGACCCCCAAAACCAAGAACACACTTTACACACTCTATGTTAGCCAATTTTGACAAAAAGTTATATTTAAATAAATAAATATCATACAACAAAAATAAAATGAAATAAAATAAAATTGAAAAAATGCTTTAAGATGCTTTACAGAGATTATTGCATAGGTTTTATGTCTACGTGCATATTTTAATTGCTGTATGATGTACAAATAATATACAATTGATTTGTGAATATTGAACCAGTCCTGTAACCTAAGGATGAATCCCACTTGATCATGGTAGATAACTCTTTTTATATGCTGTTGAATTCGATTTGGAAGTATCTTGTTGAGGATTTTTGCATCCGTATTCATCAAGGATATTGGCCTGTAGTTCTCTTTTTTTTTTTGCTAGGTCTCTATCTGGTTTGGGAATCAAGGTGATGCTGGCTTTGTAGAATGAGTCCAGAAGTTTTCCTTCAATTTCTATTTTTTTGGAATAGCCTGAGAAGAATGGGTATTAACTCTGATTTAAATGTCTGGTAGAATTCTCCAGGGAAGCCATCTGGCCCAGGGCTCTTATGTGTTGGGAAATTTTTGATAACTGATTCAATTTCTTCTCTAATTATGTGTCTATTCAGATTTTCTCTCTTCCTGTTTGAATTTTGGTAGTAATCCTGCTTTGTTTCTTAAGATTATAGTTCATTGTTGAACACCTCATCCCCCTTTGATGTAAATCAGGCTTTCTTTTTCTCTCAGACAACAAGATCTGAATTTCCATGGTTACTTCCCTCTTTATAATCTTGGTTCCTAATAATCCTCTCCTTCCCACCTCTTCTTGGCTACACTGTGCAGTGTCCAGTTGCCCTTTCTCACCAGTGAAGACCCAGCAGAATATAAAAGTTTGAAGAACAACACTATGCACATTGTTATAGAAATGATAATAACTTATGGGCATCTGGGTGGCTCAGTCAGTTATGCATCCAACTTCTGATTTCGTCTCAGGTCATGATCCCAAGGTGGTAGCATAGAGCCCTGCATTTATTTATTATAAATAAATAAATAAAATAACAAATAAAAGGTGATTCTACCTTCTAGCTATGTACCTTGTAGGGTCATATTATATTGATAAATTCAGCACATTTCTATGTATCATCACAATGAATCTGAGATCAGATTCACATTAATCAAAAATATAATAGTAATTAATTTTCAACAACAAAGACAGTATGTCATGGCTAGGCAACCTTTGCTTTGACCAAAATATTTTCTCCAAGTAGGCAAGCTATATGGGAAAGGCAAAAATAAGTACAAAGGTGCTTGGTGAACTTAGAGTCAGCACAAGAAAAAGTTTGTAACTCAAAGAAAATGTTTAATGGAATCAGGTAAAAATAAAGATAACTTGAAGCTCCCAATGCCACAGCAGGCACATACCTAACTTGTATGCAGGACAGACCTTCTTCCTAGAGCAGCATTTGAGAGTCTTTGCATTTGTCAGTCTTTTAAATTTTTTCTTCTATATTGACTAAGAGAATTAAAAATCTTGCTTCTTGGGGTGCCTGGATGGCTCATCTGGTTAAGCGTCTAACTTCAGCTCAGGTTGTGATCTCACGGTTTGTGGGTTCCAGCCTCACATCAGGCTCTGTGCTGTCTGCCAGCTCAGAGCTTGGAGCCTGTTTCAGATTCTGTGTCTCCCTCTCTCTCTGACCCTCCCCGGGTCATGCTCTGTCTCTTTTTCTCTCTCTCTCAGAAATAAATAAAACATTAAAAAAATTTTTTTTTTAAATTGTGCCTCTTAATCTAGTCAAGATCATCAAAGGAGAAGCATCTCAGAGCCTGGTGAAAATGTCTCACTTTCCACCTTACCAATATCTCTGTGTGATGACAATATTATTTTTATACAAATGATCTCATTTTATAGCCACAAGTGCCCTGGAAAATAATCAGAGCAGACATTCCTGCCACCACTTTGCAGATGGGCAAGTGGAATCTTGGAGAAATCCTGTAACTAAGTAACTAAGTTCCCAAGTCCATTTAAGTTAGTGCCTAAACAAATATTAGACATTAGCTCTTGTGACTCAGGGTCTGGAGAGTTTCCATGATCCTATGTTACTATATGAAAAATGTTTCAAGGACTGAACAGACATAGAATTCCTTTTTTCTCCTGGTTGTCTATACTTCACTATTGATGATGTATGATGCTTATCCATCCTGCTGACAAGTTCTGAGTCTTCAGTCACACTTTGGCGTCACTCTTCATAAAGCACAAGGTGCCATAGAGAGAAAGCATAGCTTATATGTCCTGAAATTGCTTAGTATTATGTTCCCTTGGAATGTGGTGGAACTATCCTGCTAACTGACTCTTTCAAGACTTCCTTTACCTTTTCATTCCTCAAGCTATAAATGAAGGGGTTCAGGAGAGGGGTCACCATTGTAGTGAGGACAGCCGTCACTTTATCAAAATCCAGTGAATGGCTCTGGTCGGGCCTCACATACGTGAAGATGGAGCTGCCGTAGGCAATGGAGACGACTGTGATGTGAGAAACACAGGTGGAAAAGGCCTTCTGACGTCCTTGGGCTGAGGGGATGCGCAAGATGGTAGAGATGATGTAGGTGTAGGACTTTTTGGTGAGTACCAGTGATTTCAGGATTACTATTGAAGATAAGAGGAAGTTTATCATCTCAATTAATTGTGTTTCTATTCAGGCCACCTGTATTATAGGTGCAATGTCACAGAAGAAATGACTGATTTCTCTAAAACAGAAGGGCAGTCTGGACACCACAATCGTTGGGCACAGCACTGAGAGGAAGGCTCCCACCCAGCACCCCAGAACCAGTAGGAGACAGACCCTACTGTTCATGATGATGGTATAGCGCAGGGGGTTACAGATGGCCACGTAGCGGTCAAAGGACATCACCGCTAGGAGGAGAAACTCCACTGTCCCCAGAAAGAAGTAGAAATAAACTTGAGTGATGCAGCCAGCAAAAGATATGGTTTTCTTCTTTTCTAAGAGACAGGCTAGCAACTTTGGGGCAATAGTAGTTGTGAACAAGATGTCCAAAAATGACAAATTACTAAGAAAGAAATACATTGGTGTCTGGAGACGATTATCGGTCCATATTAAGGAAATGATGATAATGTTTCCCGTTATAGTGAGCATATAAACCAGCAGGAGAATGACAAACAGCAAGACCTGAATCTCCTGGATGACAGGAAAGGAGACCAATGTGAATTCAGTCAAGGTAGTCTGATTTCTCATAGCCATGTCAACTGGAAGGGGAAGAAACAAAGAAAACGTAGAATCTTTGAAGATCTCTTTCCGGTTTTTCTACGATCTTACTAAATATAGATTAGAGAAAACATTCAAGAGGGTGTGGTCCTGTGTCCCGTATCATGTGGCCTCAGGCAAATCAAATTAGCTTGCTTGGCCTCAGTTCTCATCTTCATAGTTGATGGGTTGGAAAAAATTTTTCTATGGTCCCTTTAAACTTTAACTTTTCAATTTCTACTTCATGTATATATTTCTTCTCTTTATTTCCTTCCTTAAATCCAAATCTGTGCAAGTTAACTGAAGTGTATAATTAACTGAAATTCACTCAACTCATTTTGATCGTGGTATATTTTAATCTTTAATAATATGGATATCTTAGCTGATAGCCTCATATCATACTTTATCGAGGAAAGAGAAGTCATCAGATGAAAATTCTGTTACCGTTCCTGTATCAAGGCTGACCAGCATATTATGATCTGAATGAAGAATCCTTTTAAGTCATGACAAGAGTCGGATCAGACACACTCTCTGAGATATTGCTCATTATGTCAAAAGTTAGGAGAGGTGTCTGGATCCATGTTATAAAAAACGAACAAAGAAACAGTAGGAAGGACTGAGGCCGGGCAGTCAGGTCAGAGCTTTGGTGGCTGGAGTTGGAGCCTGAAGACCCAATAGCCAAGATCAGGATGGCTGGCATATGAATCAGCCAAAACAGAGAATTGGTAAGGGAAACACAGAGAACTGATGAAACAGGGAACCAAAGCAGAAGATTTGTACCGACAAGCCTCAGTGAGGAGAAGGGTCGCCCTGTGATCATATGTTTAAGGAGACATTTCTATGGCACATCCAGGGCTGGAACATCAGCAAAGCTGGAAAAGCAAACCTGAGACTTCCTCTCTGAACCAAATGTGAAGCGAGAAGGTGAAGGGGTCCTGGGTGAGGCATGCCGAACGACAGGAGGAGAAGCAAATCCCTTCCAGAAGAAAAATTCCCCAACATAGCCACCAAGAACTCCCAGGCATTAAGAAGAAACAAAGAACTTTTGGACAAAGATTTCCAAACATGCTAACAATTGCACTGCTATAAATGAGAGTAGAAAAAAAGAAATGATAGAGATTCAGCACAAGGACAACAGAATTTGGAATTGTTAGATGTGTTATATAGGACACTTATATATGGAATATTTCAAGAAATAAAGGATGCAATTTTAAAAGTGAGAATGCCACAAGAATCAAGGCTTTTAAAAACTACCAAATTGACTTTTTAAAAAGACCCAGTGTTGGGAGCCTGGGTGGCTCATTCACTTGAGCATCTGACTCTTGACTTCAACTCCCAGGGTTGTGGGATTGAGCCCCACATCTGTCTCCGTGCTGACAGCTCAGAACCTGGAGCCTGCTTCAGATTCTGTGTCTTTCTCTCTCTCTGCCCCTCCCCCACTCACGCTCTCTCTCTGTCTCTCTCTCTCTCAAATAAACATTAAATAAATAAACAAAAAATAAAAATAAAAAGACCCAGTGGAACTTACAGAATTAAAAAAAAAAGATTATTGTGGAAGTAACAATTCAGTTGTTTCAAGTGAGGTTAGATGGGATAAACAATGGATCAGATGTAATGTAAAACACCTGGTTGTACACCTGAAACTAATGTAACATTGTGTGCCAACTGTACTCAAAAATGAAACAAAAAGAAAACCCTTCTTCTTAGGTCATCTCATGCCTCCTAAAATTTTAAATAAATGGATTAGCAAATAGGCAGATCTATCTAAAGAATTTCTCTTTCATGAAACAGAGATAAGCTTGCAAAATATGGAAGAGTGCAAAGGGATGGAATTTAGTTTTTAAAAATAACAATGGAATGGGAACATTTATATGTGTGTTCTGTGTCCTGCAGGAGAGAACACAGGAAGTGAAGCTGGATAGTAGTTACAGACAGAGTCAGAGCACAAAAGGGAAGACATGAAAATCAGCAAGAAAGGGTAGATCAGCAGTGAGCATGACCTGTTCGCTTCCGCACAGCAGCAATGCAAGGCAAAAATTAATTAAATAATATCTCTAAAGTGTGGCAAGAAAGCAACTGCCAACTCAGGTAATCCAGGAAGATTCTCTTCCATTGTAAAATAAATCTATTTTAGATAAAAGCTTCAGGAATTTACTATCAAAGGACAAATGATATAGTAATTTCAAAATATAATTCAAGAATAAAGAAAATAATGGAGATCATTTAAGGTATAAAGAGGAATAATAAAGACATGAAATGGTAAACATGTACATAAATCTAAACAGAAATTCTTTGTAGAAAGTAATAACAGTGTTGGGGGCACCTGGGTGGCTCAGTTGGTTGAGTGTCTGACTTCAGCTTAGGTCATGATCTCGTGGTTCATGGGTTTGAGCCCCACATCGGGATCTGTGCTGACAGCTCAGGGCCTGGAACCTGCTTTGGAATCTGTGTCTCTATCTCTCTGCTCCTCTCCCGTTTGTTCTCGTTCTCTCTCTCTCTCTTTTTCTCTCTCTCAAAAATAAGTAAACATTAAAAAAAAAATTTTAAAGTAATAACTTGAATTTCTGGAGTTAAGCTAGAATTGGCATATGGATGATGACAGGAAAAAAGTGTGGAGAGGAAAATTGGAGCCAAAGCCTTCTTGTACCATTTGTGAGGGGATGAAACATTGTTTTCTTTTAGTTTTTGTTTGTTCGGTTGGTTGGTTGGTTTTAGAAGTCTCCATGCGCAGTGAGATTCCCAAAGCAGGGCTTGAACTCACCACTCTGAGCTTAAAACCTGAGCTGAGATCAAGAGTTGGATGCTTAATTGCGGAGCCACTCAAGCACCTGTCTTTTAGGTTTTAAGGTAAAAAAGCCTAAAAAAATTTCTAGGGTATTCACTGAAAGAATAGAAATAAGTAGATAACTTCCAAATTTATGGAAAGGCAAAAATGATGTAAGGAAAACAAAACTCAACTATAACAAAGATATAAATAAATACCAGCATTCATAGCAATCCATCAATTCCATCCCCCCCCCCAAAAAAAAGAAGAAATAAATTATGGAAAAAGAAACAGAAAAATAGAAAATTGGAACAAATAAAAATAAAAAGTAAGCTGTATAAACCAGTTCTCACATATCAATTTTCACAGTAAAGAAAACTGAACTAAATTCTTTAAAGACAGACGTTTGTAATACTATATTAAAAAAAAAATTCCTGTTGTATTCTATTTATAAGAGATATAAAAGGCAAGAACATAGAAGAATTGAAAATAAAAGGATTTTTTAAGAAAGATATGCCAAACATATACTAATCCCCAAGAAAATTAATGTGGCTAAGCAAGTGTCCCCCACTGTTTGAAAATTTCCATTTTGCCACTTCATTTTCATGGACAATATATTGTACCTGTTCTTGCTATCTTAAAGGAATCCAGAAATTCCATGAGAACTTTCGTGTTTGTTTTTCAGGGAGCCAAACCATTGCAGAGGCAGCACCCACGCTGAGCAGAGTGGCGCCACCAAGCGTTTTTCCCAAGGAACTACACTCAGCGCCTCAGCATTGAACTCCGCTTTGAACTGTGGCTGCCAGTATCTGTTCTTTATCTTGATTTATTTTGTGCATCTCTTAACAAGATGTGTCCTAAAGGTGATAAAAAAAAAAAACAAACCTAAGAGAGGTTATATTTGGAGTCCTGGAATGCTCAAAAAGTTACCCATATAAATTAATGGTAATTGCTTCATTTTCTGCCACTTTGGCTTACAAAAGATTTCATAGGAATGAATGCTCTATTTCTGGAGAGTGGGGACATCTGTATTAATAACTGACAAAATAGTAAGACAAAATGTGGCATTAGGGATTGACAGGGCCACTGTTTGATTTTAAAAATTTCAATTCATCATTAACTCATTACCCTTTTAAATACATAGATATTTAGTAACCAGCTTCAACACACATAAAGAAAAAAAAATCCCAGAGCTGTAAGATCAAAGTATCATCATAGTGGAAGAATTCAGTACATAAACTTATTTTATAATATTTTTAAAAGTTTATTTTGAAGGAGAGAGAGAGTGTGAGTGAGCAGGGTAAGGGCAGAGAGAGGGGAGACTGAGCTTCCCAAGCAGGCTCCATGCTGTCAGCACAGAGCCTGACATGGGGCTTGACTCAGGAACTGCGAGATCATGACCTGAGTTGAAATCAAGAGTCAGATGCTTAACCAACTAGGCCACCAGGCACACTTATTTTATAATATTTTAAATTCTAAAACATTTGAGGGGCGCCTGGGTGGCTTATTCGGTTAAGCGTCCGACTTTCGCTTAGGTCATGATCTCGCGGTTCGTGGGTTCGAGCCCCGCGTCGGGCTCTGTGCTGACTGCCAGCTCAGAGCCTGGAGCCTATTTCAGTCTGTGACTCCCTCTCTCTCTGACCCTCCCCTGCTGACGCAGTCTCTCTCTCTCTCTCTCTCCTAGAAATAAATAAAACATTAAAAAATTTAAAAAAAAAATAAATTCTAAAACATTTGTGCGTGTGTGTGTGTGTGTGTAACAACCTCAGCAAGTCACTGTTTACATGAACAATTCATTAAACACACAAAGAATTTTATGTGACCCCTTTTGCGAGTTACTGAGGCTTACCTCTTTCAAAGTTTAGCCAAGATTCCTGTGCATGTGTTAGTATTCCTTCTAGCCATATAAACTTGTTCCCTGCTGACTGGACTATAGACAAAACAGGTCACTGAACTTGAACTGAAATCTGAAAATAATTAAATATTTGATCTTTTAACAATCTCTGTTAAATTCTAGATCTCAGTCTCATTAGTATCGTTTATATTCCCCTTCATTTCCGTGGGTCAGTTCATACAAATACAAATTACTCTGAAATCCTTTCACAAACCCTAAATATCTGAAATTGTGGATGAGTCTTTAAAAACTCAAATAGGGGCGCCTGGGTGGCTTAGTCAGTTAAGCATCCGACTTCGGCTCAGGTCATGATCTCACAGTTTGTGGGTTTGAGCCCCA